TTATCTTCATTTAGGGCACACGGAATAGTAGAGTAATATTACTGAATTCCTAGAAAACATTGGCACTCCTGAGCAGGCTGTTTATTACCTGTCCTGAGTTGGTATCCTGAGTATATTCACTTTAATTTTCCTCCAACTCTTATTTTGTTATCCTTTTCAATAAGTATGAGACTAGTTATTTAGTAGATCCCAAATTTAGATTAATACAACTAAATTATTGTGAGTTATCTTTACTTGGGCATCTTCAAATTTGGTAGAACAGAGAGTATTTATAATGCTGTACATTTGATACTTTAACCTAAATCATCTTTCTATGCATATTTTAATAGCTTTATTGTAATATAATTCACCTATCATGCAGTTCAACCATTTAAAGTGTACGATTTAATGTTTTTTGGTATATTACCTTATTTTTTTAATGATGGCAATGTATAACCTAAAATTTTCCATTTTAACCATTTTTAAATATGCAATTCCATGGCATTAACTACATTCACATTGTTGTACAGCCATTACCTCTATTTCCAAAACTTTTTCACCTCCCCAAACAAACACTGTAACCATTAAACAATGACTGTTCATCCCTACTCCCAGCCTCTGGTAACTTCTCATCTCCTTTCTGACTCTTATGAACTGCTTATTAACAAATATTTCATATAATTAGAATTATACAATATTTTTCTTTTGTCCCTGTCTTATTTCACATAGCCTAATGTTTTCACAATTCATCCATGATGTAGCATGTATCAGAGCTTTATTTCTTTTTAGTGCTAAAAATATTTCATTGTATGTATATGCCACGTTGTTTATTCATCTGTTGAAGAACATGAGTTTGTTTCCCCACCTTTTAGCTATTGTGAGTAAAGCTGCTCTGAACAATGTTGCGCAAGTATCTGTTTGAGTCCTTACTTTCACTTCTTTCATGTATACAAGGGTACTTCGGAAAGTTTGTGGAAAAATAGAATTAAAAGACAATACAAATCTTTCTATGAATTTTTTGAAGTACTCTTGTTATACCTAAGAGTGGAATTGCTGTGTGGTCTTACGGTTATTCTATGTTTAGCTTTTTGAGGAACCTCCAAACTGTTTTCTGCCGTGGCAGCACCATTTTACATTCCCACGAGCAGTTTCTCTCCATCTTGCCAGCACTTGTTATTTTTCATTTTTCTCGTTATAGCCATCCTAGTAGATGTGAAGTATTATGTTCACGTCAAAACATTTAACCTCTGAGGCAACTGAAGACTAAGCATTTTACTTTGTAATACAGCTAGAGCTGTATTGCACTTATTCCACTTATTCAGTAACTTTTATTTTTCTTTTAATAAGGACTGTTTGGGGCTATTTAATGCCAAACAGACAAACAAATAATTATTCAGTGGCTTATACCACAAATTACTGTACTGTATTGTTTAGGGGGTATAACAATGGGTAAAAATTAGCTTTTGCCCTCAGCAAACTAAAAACATGTGGGGTATATAATAAGACATGTGGATTAAACCCCCCAAAAGAAGGAACACAATATACATGCCCTAAAAAATGTACAAAGTATTACAGGTGCTCACAACAGGAAGAGCCATAGCTAGCTCAGGCATTCAACGGGGTGAAACTAGAATGGTAATTCAAGGAGTTACAGAAGGGATATCTGACCCAGATCTATGGGTTCAGATCTGTGGGAGGGTTCATAGAGGTTTACTAGGAAATGTTTAATTGAAAAAATTAGGCTCAGAGATCCATAAGTTTTTTTAAAAAACTCAAAATAAAAATGAAAAAAATATATTTAACTCATTTGTTTTTATTTTCCCAACTTCTATATAAGTTAAAATAATTTGGTGTGACAGGGATCTTATATTAATAAAAATCATAATTTCTTGAAATGGTATTCTATAGGCTTTAATGAAAACATATGTTTGGATTATTTTAAATAAAGTGCCATGGTTCTTTACTTTCCATAGTATATAATTCTTTTCTGTCATAGGCCACCGTAGTGTCTACTGTCTCTGAAGATGCACTGATGAAGCAGGGTTCCCTTCTTCTGGAGCTGCATCTATATTTTGGCTGTGACACTTCTGCAAATACTTAAAAATTAATTTATATTTATTAGTGTAACCCATTTTTATACTTGTGATTTGATACTTAGGAAAACTCTGAGCAACAGGGCAACAAATATTCTTGTTTTATGGGAAGTAAATTTGAGGTTTTGAGTAATGGCCAGCCAGCTAGAAACGCAGTGGAATTAGTAGATACCAAATCTAGTGCCCTTTTATGATATTCCTATAACTAAATATTATGGTTAATGCAATTCTCATAAGTAGAAGAGATAGTAAATAGTTAAGTTGTTTAATTTTTTTAAAAGTATGGTACTTTATGTTAAAACTTTGTACCTGATTTTATAAGGAATATGAATTATCATTAGATATCAATCTGAAACATAGGAGGGAAATAAGCTTTTTGTGATTTTAATCCTCATGATTAGCCTATCTTCTTTCATGGGGCCCTGCAATAAAGAATTCGCCCTTTAACGTGGATATAATGGATTTAATACAGTATTTGAGCACTGTGCACTGAATACATAGATGGTCTTTTCCCTCTAGGTGGCTCTCTGGGTCTATATAGACAACAGACTGTTAAACAATGTGCGCTTTTCCTACGTTTATTTTGCCTCTCTGCTCTGTGAGACTATTAATTACATTTGAAGTAAACTGTAAAGCCCATGATATCAGCCACTCAATTTAATAGAAGCTTGAAAAAGTAATAATAATAAAGCAAATTAGAACTAACATTTATTTATTAGATGCTCACAAACTTGGGGGAAGAGACAAGTGAACTTCTTAATTGCATTGCACTGTGATTGGTAAAAAGTAAAGAAGGCTTATTAGATTTCTGTAATACACTTCATTTTTCTAGGATCCAATCATTTGCATTTAACTATGAGATAAATTTCTTGAGCATAAGAGTAGTAATTTATCCTTATCATTAATTTTCTATAGAAAACTTGGTTTGAAAAGGGAATGAAAATAATTACTTGTACACTTATGATTAGTAAGGTACTAGGGGAAAAGAATTTTGAGGTTTACCAACATATGTACATGGCAGTGCTCTTTTTCATCCTGACCATTTTACACTTTACATTTTACATACGCATAGTATAGTATGGCTTTTGCTTTCGCTACTATGAGAAGCACTCTGGACTGTCTGGGTATTTTTATCTTCGACTTTGATAGCTTTTCATTCCTTAACATGCTTTCTTACTTTGTCATCAGTGAGAAGTCCCTGGTTATTCCCATTCCTCTCCTAATCATTCCTTCTTCTTATTGATGCCTCTTAAATATTAGTGGCTTAACAGGTTTCTGTATTTGAGTTTCTCCTCTTTCTATTCTTATGTGTTCTCCAAAGACAATTTCATATATGCCTATATTTCAACTACCATTTATATGTTGCCATAGTTCCTTTGGGCTGCTGTAACAAAAATACCATAGATTGGGTGACTTCAACAAATGTTTATTTCTCCAAAAGGTTGGAAAGGCCAAGATCAAGGCACTGGCAGACTCGGTGTCTTGTGGGGACCCACTTCCTGGTTCATAGACAGCAGTCTTCTGAGTCCTTGCCTGGTACAAGGGGCAAGAGAGCTTTCTGGGGTCTCTTTTATAAGGGTATTAATCCCATTCATGAGGGCTTCACTCTTAAGACCTATTCATCTCCCAGAGACCCCACCTCCTAATACCTTCACATTGTGGGTTAGGATTTTAACATCAGAATTGTGGGGGGCGGGGCACAAACATTCAGTTCATAACATATTCTAGTGGTTTTCAAGTCCATGTCTTTAGCTCATTACTCTCCTGAGTTCCAAACAAAATCTTTACCTGCCTACTGTGGCAGGCCTAATGTATGTATCAGTAAATATTTGTGGGATGAATGTTTAGAAATTATTTCCCTTCCCTCCTAACCAACCTATCCCCCTATTCTCTATCTTCTTAAAACTACTTCTCAGTATCTAAGCTTGACTTGGGAGTCTTTGACCCCATTCTAATTTTTCTCACTCCACTTACCAGTTCTTATCCAGGTTTGGAAAAAGGACTGACTTGGATGCACTGGCCCTTCCCCCAAACCTGCTTTGATTGCATTTCAACCAGCCTTCTAATTTAGATACAATCACAGTAGAGTGTAATTACCAGTTCATTTATGTGTCTCCCTCTTCCCCCAATTTTGTGGGCATGTAATACATTAATATTCTAATTTGCTTTATTATTTCCTTTGTTCAAATTTGTATTAAATTGAGTGGCTGATTTTATGTATTGATGGGCTTCATAGTTTAATTATGTAGCCTAAAACATATGCAGATAGAAAAATTTTGAATCCTGCTCGTGAAAATAAACCCCAATGTTTGAGTGATGAATCAGTATGCAGAGACGATTCCCAGAAGCGTTTCTTCATAACCTTTAAGACTTGACCTTACACAAAAAGTTAAATGGTATACAGAGTAGACAGCAGCAGAGTTTAAGGGCATAAATAGTGCTTGGTATATTAAATGATAAAATGATATTTGATTATAATAGGGTCAGTGGTGTGTATGTAGCCAACACAGAAATAGATAAGGTATTCTTTTCTTTGGATCATCTAGGGTTGTAAATTAATGTATTAAAATCAGATTGTGTCTTGTTATGTTTAAACCATTCAATTGTAATGCTGTAATAATTAACTAAGTAGGCACAGAGGAAATCATAACTTTTTGCAGTAGCTTAAGAAGTTGTTCTTTAAATTATTTTGGTTTGAATTGCCATAATTTTCTCTCCTGCTTGCAGAAAAAAAGGAAAAATCTGTATTAAGAAAGTATTTAAATACCATATTGTATACCAGTATGGTGGCTAATGTTCTTGATTTTAGGAATCATGACTAGAAGCTCGTCCTTTTATGACTGAGTAATGCTGAGATTAATGTAAGAGCTGCTGGAAATGAACATGTAGATTTCCACTTACCTTCTCCCACTTTTTGTGCCTCCATAGGTACATGGACTATATCGCACAACAGGTGCTAGTTTTGAGAAGGCCCAACAAGAGTTTGCAACTGGTGTGATGTCCAACAAAACTGTCCAGACTGCAGCTGCAAATGCAGCTTCAACTGCAGCAACTAGTGCAGCTCAGAATGCTTTCAAGGGTAACCAGATTTAGAAAATCTTCAAACAATACACTGTTACCTTTTGACTATACTTTTTTCTCTAATTACTGTATTCTACAAATATTTTTATGTTCAAAACATACAGTACACACAGCATGGGTATTTCCTGTTCACTTGTGCATGAGCTAAAACCAGAAAAACTTCCTTATTACTTTATTTAATAGTTTCTTATTATTTCAGTGCCCCTAGCAGAAAAAAATATTACATGTTAAATAAATATTCTCCATATTTTTTGGGGGATGATGTTCAGTGAATTATTTCAGTGGTGACACACCAAAATTAATATGGTACATATGATTAAAAATGCACTTAATGCTAATTGCAATAGTTCTTGCAAGAATCTTTAGAAATAAGGATTACACATTGGAACAGTAAAGCTATGTTTCATTTCTTTTTCCCTATTTATATTGAAAGAAATAGGCCAGCAGAGACTTACAGATTTGTAAATTGGCTTGCTTTTTACGAGTTTCAGTCACCAGTGAAAAGCCTGTGTGCATTTTGTAGTAAATAATGTAAATTTATCCTCTTTTTCTCTTCTTTTTTTAGAGTAGTTAATATTTTGATAACAATTTCTGATCTTGCATGGGAACCATGTTTCTTTAGTATTTTGGGTTCTGTACTGCTTATGGTTGTAGGATTCAGGAGTTGCTTATGGAATCATAGAAATGATTTTCTGTAATTTAATTAAATTTTTAATTTAAGTAAAAATTTATTGGGTTGCAATATAGAAATTTAATATAATAAGTAGTGCATTATCCAAAAGATAACTTAATATAATATGCAGTACATTATCCAAAATAGAAGTTAATTGATGCAATAGAATGTAGTGATAATTCCTTTTATTTTTTTTTATTTTCAGTATTCACATAGTAAAATTTTACTGTATGTATGAATGTTGGTATATTCTCCAGTTGAACTGAGATTGTATTTGGCAGCTCTTTTGGGGGGAGTGTGTGTAATTTTTAATAGCGCTGTTAAGATAGCCTAAGATAGCCTTGTCTAAAAAGAACATACAGTATTTAAAGGATTTTTCTTTTAGCCTCTCATTTCTACTGGCAATAAAAATAGAAAGACCCTGGCATTTTTCATATACTTGATCCCTGATATACCTAAGTCTTTCACTGTTTGAGACAAACTGAATACATTTAAAATTTTCAGCAATAGAAAATATAAAACATTTAACTTGCACCAAGCAAGAAAATACAAGTACAGTTAAATGAATTAATTACGATAGTAATCACACTAAAATTGTTACTATGCAGCACAGAACTTCATTCTTATAGTGTATTTGGGTTCAAACTTTCAATTGTTTTTAATACTGATTAAATGACTCAAAGAGTTTATGGATGCTACTTTGTTTTGAAAGGCTTTAGCTAATTTAAGATAACAGAGTGGTAGGTAGTGATTTATTCAATTTGATTTTAAGTAAGGTTAGTCTGCTGGATTATATTATTTGAGACTGCAAATATTTAAAAAAAAAATCAGATGGACATAAATGCATGAATCATTTTCATTCTCCCCAAATCTGGAGTTAAAGTAAATTTCATGCTGGGGATGGAATACCGAGTTCCCGCTATTTATGAAGAAGCTCTCTGTGTTATTACGTAATGCAAATCCATCCGGATGGTGTTTACATTTGATTTATTTGGGACTTTACTGAAGTAATATACTTGGAAGATATTTCTTTTATTCTGAAGAAAATAGGATTCAGAGTATGAATTTAAAGCTGTTTTTATAAATATTTCGGATCATTGATAATCTCTACCTACATTCTCAACCAAGCCTAATGTTTTTTTTTTCAGAGCCTATAGTCTTATTGAAAATCTGTTTCATCAGTGTGCTTTATTGAGTGTGGATTTTACAAACATTCAAAACATTAACCATAAAAATACAAGAGCAGTTATATCCACCATTAACTTATATCCCAAGTCCATTTTTGTTTTACTTTAAACTACAGATAAGAAAGATATATCAGAGACTTTTGAAAAATACTGACGTGCTTTCCTTCAGAATTGGGATGTTTCTCTCTATTATGTAGAGATTCCCAAAGGTTGCATTATTAAATAGCAAAGAATAATTACAAGGCACAATACCTGTGTGTGGATAGGGAAAATGGCATTTTAAAATCCAATTATTTAAGTTAATATAAGCTTGGGAGGGAAAATTATGTTTTTAAAAAACGTAAATGGCATTAAAATGATGGCAATGCTTGAAGTTTGATCAGGTATGAAAGGAGCTTTGAATTCTTATATTGACTATTCTCTTAACAATAATTAATATAAGTAGTTACATTTTCACTCAGCAAAAGGTTGGCATTTGTCAGTATTCTATATTTAATACTTAATATACCTGTTATCACAGTCATGAAATGGTCTTCACATATTAGGTAGGCATCCATGTCATTTTTTAGTTTGCAATATTGAAATGTGGCTCTTTATTTCACACTAAAGTTTGAACACCGGAAAATCATTGCTCAGTGATTTGTAATTTGGGACTTGGATTATTTATCCGGGGATGCTTGTATATTTTGTCAGTGAGTAATATTGTGCTGCCATCACGACAACTCTCATGGTTCTGTATAAATGCCCTCCATCTGTCCCTCTAACATTGCATGTTTTCAGTGGGTTGGAAGTTTTGTATATTTATTGTATTAACACAGAGTGTCAGAAAATAAAATGCTGTTTACTGGATGTTTGTTTGTATAATTTTAAACACTATATAAGCAATTCATAGGCAGAAATTATGAGGGTGTAAGGTATATAGAAATTTCACATTTGATTTTTGAAGAATAACCTGTGTGTAATTCTATCATGTGTGAAACAAAAGAAATGATATAAAAGACAAACACTCAGCAACATAAAATACTTTTTTTGGTTACATTATACCTTTATAGGAAGTAGAACATGAACTTCATCCATATTAAATATGTTTTGACCACTTTCAGGTCAAAATACACAGACTAGAAGTTAGATTTAGAATGGAAAACCTGTTTCGTGTCTCAGATTTATCCTTATAGTTTAAGATGGGTGCCTTTGTACCAGTATTGTGTTAGTTTAGTTGAACTTATGTTCTGTTTCCTAACCTGGCTACCTATTGCTGTTTTATGTACTGATGAAGGTACCTATTGCTGTTTTATGTACTGATGAAGGTACCTATTTGTTTACTGTTGGATTTTTCACTTGGTTAGCTAAAGAAGATGTAAAAATGTCATCTAAAATAATGTTCATGGTGAATCTTGTTTTGAGAAATACATGTGAAACTAAAATAGAAACAGTATTTTTTATTTTCTGGGTGTTACCTAAAAAAAGTGAGTTTTAGATTTTCACACCTAATTTACTAGGAAAATGTCTTATTCTGTAATTTCTGTTAAGATAAGGAATGGTTTACATTTTAAAGGGATTTATGTTAGGTTTTTTAGTTGTTTCTGTAAATCATTTGTAATAGCATAAGGCTTACTCATTGCTGTACCTTTTTCTGAAAACACTACGTGAACATCAGATTCTATATCTTTATTGGTGAAATCTGTGTTTAGCATGACTGTTTATTTGCAGAACTTGTTACGTTTTGGATATTTTCTTCCTGCTGTATATAACTTAGAATTACCATAGCTGTCATGCACCATATCTCCTAACACTTTTTTTCCTTAAGGAAAATGTTCAGAGGAATTTATTTATTCCATGATTTAACCCTTTAGACATGAAATAAGAGTGATTAATTTAAAGATGATTGAGGATGATTAAAAATAGGGAACACTTTAGTTTGATAGATTTTCAAGTACCATGATATAAATTTAGAGTAGAATGTTTTAAAACATTAGTCTTGTTTTAAGTACTTTTTTATTAAACTAAAAAGTTGTATCTCAATGGTTAAGTATTAACAGAAAATAAAGTATTTCCACTAGAATTTTAGGGTACATTTTATAAAACAGCATACTTACTGTTTTGATGGGTATTTTTAATCCTTATTTTAGGGCTTTATCACAGTATGTAGAGAGCTAGAAAGAAATCTATAGAAATGTTATGTAAGGCAGGCATTGACACTAATCTCTCTTCTGTAGGCAGGTATCTCTAATTTAAAGATTTTATGAAAATAAGGAAAGACTATTATCTATTTTTCTCACCCTTCCTGTGGGTTTTATATTTACAATTTTACTTTGTGGTTTGGTAAGTCAAAGCTTTCAACCTGTCGAATTTTCTCTAACACTGTTCATGTTTTCAAATGGCAAGTGAATGAATGTGGAAGCTACCATGTAGCAATGCAGTGAGTGTTAAATTTTGTTTATCCAAATGCTGATTTGTTTTTCAGCTGTTGTCTTTCGGGGCTTGACTGGCTGGTGGTGTAGCTAAAACCTTCCTAACACTAAAACCCATTTTTTCTTTTCTCTAATAGGGACAGAAAATAATCTCTTTCTACCCACTAATTTTTCATTTACTTGGATAAGATTACTCAATATTATCTTCTCTACATTAAAATAGTTCTAATTTGTAGAATCATACCATGGAAGTTTTATTTTTGAACTCTAGTTATTTTCAACACTTATTAGATGTAATCCTAGAATTCCTCCACAATTCTTTTAATATTCTGTGGGTCAGTGATTTTCAAGATAAATCATGGTTGTAGTAGTTGTTATTGTTGGCAATTTGTAGTATTATTATCTGGGGCTGGGTGAAATATACAAAAAATCACTGTCTTTTATCTAGTGATGACAGGTGGTTCTTAGGATATTCTAATCTCCTACACAAAACCTGAGCACACTGGGCATGTATATCCCTCAAACTTTTTTTTAGAATGAAGGCAATACATACCTGTTGTGTAACAATTGAAAAACTTTACCCTCCTTTTCTCCCTGAGCTAGTGCATTGATTTCTTATTACTTTCAAGTGGACAATCTTAACTGACAGTGGTTTGTAATCTTTTTTCAGTTATGGTATAAATATTTATTGACTTTATTTTCATATTTCTGAATATATTTCTTTAACAGTAGCTATATAGATGCCATTATATGTATGTATCAGAAAGTATTGTTATTCATTTAGATTCTGATTTTCAGGTTCTATTTTTATTATTATTATTATTATTATAAGTAATTTATTAAGGAATATATTGTTGCTAAATTTTGGGGCCCAGGCTTTAATTGCTAGGTCAAAGGGTATGCATTTTTTTTTTCCTTTTTGTCTTTTTTACTGACCGGTACGGGATCGCAACCCTCGGTGTCGCGCCCGTACCGGGGACCGGCAATGGGATCGCAACCCTTGGTGTTGCGCCCACACCACGCTCAGCCAGTGAGCGGGAACCAGTCACCACATGGGATCCGAACCGTCGGCGGGAGCAAGCAGCGCACTCTCCAGTGCGCCACTGGGCCGGCCCGGTATGCATATTTTTAAAAAGGCCTTTGGTGTGCATTGCCAAATTGTTCTCCAGAAAGATTGTATCAATTTATGCCTCCATTAGCACTGTACTAGAGGGCCTGTTTCTCCACACCCTGGCTAACACTGGATATTCCTTTTCTACAAAGTCTTTTATGGGCCGAGCCCGTGGCGCACTCGGGAGAGTGCGGCGCTGGGAGCACAGCGGCACTCCCACCGCGGGTTCAGATCCTATATAGGGATGGCTGGTGCGCTCACTGGCTGAGCACGGTGTGGCCGATCTCAAAAAGGACAAAAAAATAAAATAAAATAAAAGTCTTTTATACCAGTAGATTTTATCAAATAATCAGGAGGTCTGTTTTCCAAGCATTCTCATTCCCCATAGCTTGTGGGCTTGCCCAAGACTACCTGTTTATTTTTTATTTTTATTTTTTTGGTGTTGCTAAATGGCAGTAACTTTGTATTCTTCATCCACAGAGAAATCTTCGACTTCCCGAAAGCTCTAAGGTAAAGATGTTTAGCTGAATGCTCTATTATAACAGGATGGAAAAAGAAATGGTGGTCTTAGGTAACCAATCTGAGTCTCTCAGTCTCTGTAGGTAAAATTAGATTGGTTTTGATAACAGGTTATATTACCCTTCACAAAATGTAATTTTTAAAAGCAATTCTAAATGATATTAGTCTGGGCAGACAGAATTCTCTTAGTTTTCTTCTAATAATAGCTTAATCCTTATACCAGATTTATGATGCGATTTATATTGTTGGCCCCATTATACAGAGGACTACGCAAAATGTCCCTCCGTGAGTGGTGGTGGTGAAGGGCTGGGGAGGGGTAGCCACAACTACCAGGTCCCCTGACTCCTGCCAAGTGTGGGGCTGTTTCTGCCACATGATGCCACCTCTTTGCAGTTCTCTATGTTCTCTTCCATCCTTCCATATTTTCAGTAATTTATGTCCACCCTGTATGGACAGTGGACACTAGGAAAAAAATCAATAACCAAGAAAACAATTACTACATATGTATTTTGAAGTCTCTAGACCAAAGGCTGTCTCTATAACCTATAGGTGAGTACCCACTATTCAACAGTGTTAATTTACTAAATCATCTTTGGCATTTGTGTGTTTGGAGAAACTTTAGTTGAGGACAAATCCTTATTTAATTATTAAATTAAACATGCTTTTCTAACAGTTGCTTAACCTGGATATGAGATCATTTATACTAAGAAAATAACAACTATCAAACCCTATCATTTGTTTCACCACTGTCACATACCTGACGAATTTTTTGTGTTTATGGGATTGAGCTAAATCATGATTGATGAATTGAGACACATATGGTGTCATCTTCAGAAGTATGAAAAATGACTAGGTTTTTCTTTGTAAGGGAGGGAAGAGCAGTGTTTTCATCAGTTGTGATCTTATGGTGTGGCATTTTTGGAATTATACTTGAAGTTATTCTAAGTGTTCACCACGAAGAGATATTGGTGTTCCGCAGGCGTTTGTTTTGGTCACCTTCTCCACCTGCACGTTGTAGGCGGAAGGAAACGTAACAGCTGGTTTGCGCGTTGACTTTGGTGTCAGACCTCTACTTGAGCTTTGGTTTTTCCTCTAGTTCGCTTTCTAACTTAGGGCAAATTATTTAGTCTGTTAACTTTATGTAAGTGACAACTTATCTATAAAATAAGGATAATAATAGATTCTACCCCACATGGTGTTGGTGAATAAATAAATTATATGAAGTGCTTAGCATAATATCTGCACGTGGAAAGTACTTGATAACTAAGAACACTTACCTTCTCTCCATGTGTAATGATGACTCCCAAATCTCTCTCTAACCTGGTCATCTCTGCACAATGTATTCCCAGCTACACACAGGACTTCTCATTGGCAGCCTAAGCTGGACCTCCCCGCCTTCACTGTCAGTCCTCCTTCTTGCTTCTTCATCTTGGTGACTGCATCACTCACCACCTGGCGGCCATCCTAGACTCTATCCTCTCCTTCCTCCCACTGCTCTATCAGTCACCAGGCTGTCCATCCTTTCTCCCTAACAGCTCTTTGACTCATCCCATTGATTGTCTTCACTGTTACTGCCTTAATTCAGGCTTTCTTTTCTCATGAATAAAATTATAGTGGTTCCCCCCATAGGCACTTCGTGGACTGCTTACCAGTAGGTGTTAGATTTTTCAGGATATTTGGCTATAAAAAGCCGAAGAGCTGCTAATAGTTACATGTTATTTGATTGACTTTTCTTTCCCATGAGGTTTTGGTTTTATTGCTTCCTCTTATTTGTGCTTTTATCTGTATCCTGTGTACCTAAGCAAAATTAGCAGTTCACTTCTCCAAAACTTATCTTGAGAACTCTTCAGGGTAAGGAGAGGAAGCTGCAAGGAAGAAGATAGTAGTAGGGCAGCAATGGGGCGGCCCTGCCCAATGATTAAGCTGCTGGTAAAGGCCTCTGAAATAAATTACTGGTTCTTGCTGCTTTAAAGAGCAGTCTAAAGTTTGCTTTGATGTGTCTATCCTTTAGTGTTTGAGAGTTGGAAAAGGTATTGAATTATTTAAAATACTGAAATAATTTCCACATAAAAGAAATGTCCACAGTAGTAAGGACTGTTCTTAAGTGGTTCTTTTGTTAAGCAAAGACTTTAAGGGGATCTAGGAATGCATTGGGTAACAGGAAGATCAATCATGGAAGCCAGGGTCCTTTCTCTTGTGGATTTTAGATTAACACGCGCACGTGTGTGTGTGTGTGTGTGTGTGTGTGTGTGTGTGTGTTAATTACATGGCGGGTGTCAGATATGTTTAGAAACCAAACATAGATTAACACGCGCACGTGTGTGTGTGTGTGTGTGTTAATTACATGGCGGGTGTCAGATATGTTTAGAAACCAAACATAGTTTGAATTGTCACAGGCCCTAGATTGAGGAAACAGCTATTTTTGTTTATTCTGTCAGATAAGTGCTTCATGGGATATAGAGAGTTGAATGAGTTTATGAAAAGGGTGTTATCTTTGAGTTTATAAATTAGAATTCTACCCATTCTGGGTGAAGCTTTTGATAGGCAAGATTACCTTCAGGAAATGTGGATGTGGAATAGCTCCATATTATTGGCTTTTACTTTCAGTATTTTTGTTGGAAGAGGAGAATGTCTTTTAGTTAACTTTTTCCCTTGTCATTGTTTTTGTAAAGCCTTTTAAAATACTTTGAAGCATTTTTATATTTCATAGCTTTTCTTTAAAATTATGTGTAGAGTACTTGAAGGTTTTTTTCCCTATTTTAATTAGGTTGATGCTTCTCCAATATCTTGAAGTTAAAGATAACTTAGGGTAGGGATATATGTTACTAGTGAATGGAACAGTTGAAAATACCTGAGTATCTCTTTTCCTCTCATCAATATTATATATGTTAGTGTTTAAAATAAATTTTGATCCATAGGTATTGTCTTGATCAAATTGTACACATATTATAGCCATTATACTCAGACTTGAAAGAATGAGTTTGCAAAATCTGGTTTAATTCAGATCTGGGGAGGGGAAGGGAGGGGAGGGGGAAAAGGGGAGCACATTGTGAAAATACATATGCACAGGAACCTAATCAATGCTAGACAAACATCATATTAGTTTACAATATAATAGGATAACCACAAATTTAAAGGCTCAAATTGAGTCCATTAGCTGTAAATACAATTTTATATTTGGCTCAAGTGGCTGTTGAATATCAAGTGGTGCCGAGTTCCTCCAAAGCACCTAGTGACCCCCCAGCCTTGGAAGGAGTTTCACCACAGTCTTAGAAGAAATCCCAGTTGTGCCTTTAACTCTTTTGGCCCTTGGTAGTCATTGCTACCCAAATACAGATGCAGACTAGGGATTTCCAGTGGCCACATGTTATTGCACAGAGAGGTCTGTTCTAAGCCAGACTCTTATTGCTAAGAAGGTGTAAGATTAGCCCTTATATAGTGGTCTAGCATTAACATGGTCTATAAAAGCATGTTAAGAAATAGCTCCTTAGTGATTATGTACCAGCTCCTAGTTATCACACTAACAGAAAAGGCAACATGGCAGCTTCACATTTCACATGAAAGACTAGCATTAACTGGGCCTGGCTGGCTGGCTTACTTTCACATAAAGCTAGTGATTATTTTAATTTAGACCCAGGAGAAAAGGATTTCATACCAGTCTTTTCTTCACATAAGATTTGTGTAGCATTAAAATTAAGGTTAATGACTAGGTCATGAAGGCAAAAAACATGTAACTCTCCTTTGCCAAAACAGAAACATCCCTGTTTTGACTCCTATCCAGTTTCCAAAAAACAAAACATACATACACCTTGGTTATTGCACATCTTTCACACAAACTTGTGTATGTATAATATACATATATATATAGTTTTAAATATGCTACACATAAAAAGACTATGGCACTTTACTGAATACATGTTTAACAAAGATCATTACACCACAGGTGTCTGAAACACATACAAAACCCTTACATAATTAATGTAACATTGTTGAATTAGCACACAGGTTTAAAGAATCCACAGAATCCAAGGCAAACATTTCTGCCTCAGGGGTTCATTGAGAAGCCCAGCCCATCACAAAACTCTAAGCACAACTGCAGGCAAAATAAATAAGACTTTTCTGGTAGTAGTAATGGTCCTATTAATTAGAAAAATAGAGGTGGGTCAACAATCAATCTGTTTTTAACATTTCTTTCTAGCACATTCCTTATATTCAGTGGTTTTTAAACAGCTATGCAAAAGAGTTTGGGCTAGACTAGCATAGTTTTAGATGGTCTGTTTATCCTATGTGAGGCTTGGCTAATGGACTGAAGGTTTAAAAGGCCCAACGTTACCTTTTTACTCTGTCTCTACTAGAGAAAAATCTCTCTGCTCTGTTTACTTTGTGTTTAGGTAGTAAAAGTGGTTTGGGGTTTTGTGTACATGTGCTTTTTTTCTGTCTTCTACAACATTCAAATTAATGACAATATTGTCAAGTGACTTTATTCTGGCTGAGAGGTCACATTTTTCACTGTGACTTTTTCACTGTGATCTAGGAGTGCACTACCATCTTAGCCAAAGAGCAGATAATGGACATGCTCTGGACTTAAGGCATGTCTGTAAGGAGGAGAGTGAGACTGTAAATTTAGTGTTAGAAAATAGATTTTTCTATTTTGTAAAGAAAAATAGTAAACCTTCTGACAAATTTAAGAAAAATTTTGTGTTTTCATCAAGATATACCTTATGAAGGGAATTGCTTTCAATGTAAATTATTGCCAGGGCTTGAAAAGTAATTTCTGTGGTAACATAGGGACTTGATTAGAACACTATAAATGTCTGTGTGGTGTTAGAGATATGGTCAGTGTTTCCTTACCTTAGGCTGCTATGAGTATACCTGTTTACCCCTTCTCTCTTCAGAAAAAGTCATAGGATTTACATCTTGCTTGCTTTGAACTTTGGTTCAAGAATGATAAATTCATTAGGACCTGGTTCTACCTCCTCCACCCCTCTTGCCTTTAATCTGTAAGGTAAGATGGTTTCTGGTATAGGCCAAAGGCCAAAATGTAATAAAACTTTAGTTGCCCCATTCCATCTATATGTAAAGCAATTATTTGTTCTGCACCAAGGCATGGCTTTAGACTCACACCGCTTTAACATGATTCATTCAGGGCAAAGTTGTAAAATCTGAGTCAGGGTTGTATGCCTGGTGGCACTTAGCACACAGTGCTTTGTCCATAGAAGGTGCTTGGTAATTATTTGCTAAATTTTCAAAATAAAGCCCTTAAGTGAGTAGACCTATACTTTTAATCCTTCCAGAAATCTGGCAGGTCCACTTCCTTTGCTTAAGTTCCTAATGTGTGTTTCTACACCATTCTGCAATTCTGAAGCTCCTGTAATGCTAGACTAGTTGCTTCTGGCTAATTTGGTCATTCTTCTCAAATCAATTACATTGGTAATTTATGGATTAAAAGCCCCTGAATCCTTTCTAATAGTGGTGTTTGGTTCTTTTTGTAGGCAGGTGGTACAGGAGCTTGGTCTACCTCCTGTTTTTGTATTAACTTTCTACTCTGTGCTTTCCTGGGAATAAATCCTTTGCAACTCTGTAGTTGTAGCAATTTAATGTTACTTCAGTCTGCTTTCAGGATCAACTCCACTAACTAGAAAAACTTAACTCCTGAGATTAGCTCCTTTTTTTCGGCAAAGAATGCCATACTGCTGCTGATAGGGTTGGAAATACAGCTGATAACAGCATTGTTACCAAATGGGGAAAAGGTCTCCCAGCAAACATCTGAATGAGCCACAGCTGGCTTGGAGACTTCTGTCACTGGAATGAGGAAACAGTGCGGTTTCCTTTGGCAGATAAAGCACAATCTTAACCCTAGGAGAAAAACATGTGATCTCCTGTAGAAGAAGAGACTGGGCCAGCACTGGTGCTAATCTGGCTGCTGGGAAGAGGAAAGAGCAAGATTTTGTGTTTTTATTCTCATATGATTGTACAGGTCCTTTTTCTTTATTCAAATTTTAAAAATCTAAGGAACAGTTCAGTTGGCCCACCCTACCCTGGAATTCAGCCTAGAATAAGTTCCACAGCAGGATTCCACACTGTCCCTGCTGACCCCTTTAGGACAGGGTCTTGCTATGCCTTTAGCACACACACATCCTATTCCTATTCCCAGTAAATTTGTAGTCTTCCTTTTGTTGCCAACTGAGACTGCTTGAAAGAACTGGGAGAAAAACAAAACTCCAACCCAAAACCTCATTCCGAGGCAGAAATGCTCACAGACAAGCAACCTTTGGGCAGCAACAGCCTGCAAACGTGGCTAAACATTCTCTTCTGTTACCAAAGAAACTGCTGCCTTCATGGTTTAGATCATTATCCTTCATTGAGCCCTGAGGGAGATGGAGTCTGACAAAACTTGGCAACTGTGTGTCAGGGTTTATGTGCTATTTTCATGTTCCATCCATCCCTTATTAATTTGCACTGTGGCCCTCACATCCAGGAACTTTGCTTATTAACCAGACATTGCCTCGCATTGGTCCTGTGGCTGTGGTACATAAAGGCTAGTTCTCCGCTTGATTCAAATGATGAAACTGGAGGTGGACTGTTTCATGAGATTACTGAAGGAAGAAAATTAACGTCTCTTCCAAACTAAAGGAGGCAAATAAGGTTTTTCCCCTCTTCGATTTCTTCCTGTACTTTGTCACTGGAGGTGGCGATTTCTGCTTGTGCAGAGAAGACAGCGCAGATGAAGGTGAGGACGGTGCCACCAATGGCGGTGTAGAAGGCCCAGCCCAAGGCGCAGTCTCCAGGTCTGTAGGCAGATGCGTAATGTCCACAGTAGTCTATGGCCTTCTGGCAGCCCCAGCCAGCAGGGTAGAATATCAAACCGAGGATAAGGAATAGGCCTGTAGGACGGAAGAGCAAACAGGTGAAACCCCCCTGGCTCTACAACATAAAGTCCCTGTACAGATCTGTTGTAACTGTTACTTGATTTGCTTGCTTGGGGAAATGCCATCTGTTCTGCAATAAAAAGTGTTAGGGACTGTTTTATGTAACTAATCTGACCTGATCAAAAAATATCACTTTTTCAAAAATATTTTCAGGCACTTTTGTACATGTTGAAATGTGAATCGTCTACTAATTTCTCTTGTGGAAAAGCATATTAGCTTGCTACTATTTCTTTCCACAGGGCTCTTATTGCAGTGAGCATTTCCCTTTTGTTTGGTCTAAGGCAGATGTTGGCAAACAAAGGCCCTCAAGCCAAATGTGGCTTTATAAATAAAGTTTTATAGGAACACAGTAGAGCTGAGTAGTTGCTCCAGACTGCACAGCCTGTAAAAGCTAAAATATTTACTATCGGGCTTTTTGCAGAAAGAGTTTGCCAACAGAACCATCTGATGTCAACCTGGTTAAATGCAAGAGACGGGCCATGAAGACGACCAGATTTTAACCTGATTGTCAGTGCTTTAAATAAGCCCACTAGGAGTCTGTTTGCTGGTATTCACCAACTGCATGCCTGGGACCAGAGTTTTCTGTATTTACATATACAATGAACAAATGGCAAACTTGTAGGAATTTTCCGTCTGGACATAAATGCAGTTGGCCCTGAGCAGACACTAATGAGCTCTGCCTCCATTGTGCTCCACCCACCCTGGGTCATACGAAACATCCATTTTCCTATTCCTCACTGCCTTACTGCTCACTGTGAAACTGGAATGCAGCAGTTGAGAGTTATTTTTCCTGCCTGGTCCCACCAGGGTGAGGCACTCTCAGATGTCAACCCTGTGGTTGCCTCACCCGGTTACCAGTGACACAGCAGAAGCTTCTCATAAGGAAGTCTGGGACCTAAAATGACACAGGCAACCTAGGGCCCCCAAATTTTACCCAACAAAACTTTCTTGGTAGAAATCTTCTTAAAGGCCTTTATTTTACCTGAAAGATCTGCAAGAGGAGTATGGCTTTATTCTATGTGGAAGGAAAAAACTGTTTTATCTGAAAAATGACACCCACATAATCAAGATTGCTAAATCATAACCAGAAAGTCCAAATTTTTAAAGATACCTTGGAATAGCAGTTCTATCCTTACAAATTAATCTTGACTCCGAGTTCTGTTTCTTTTCCTACCTTGACTGAAATTCTCTGGGTTTACCATACCAAAGTTATTTCCAGCAACTTCCCCACACAGAGAACGTGACTACATTTGTGGTAGGATAATGTTTGAAGGAAGATCAGAGACAGTGTTTCAAGCCACAGATGACAGCTATCAATAGTCATCCTCTTGCCCGACTGTCCCCACTTCATCCCATTGTTCTACTCAGATGGCCTCAAGGGACATTCTAGTAGGGGTGGAGTAGAGGGAATCCATTCAGAAGCTCACTGTCTGAAGATGGGTGATTCAGAAAGGAAGTCTTTCTAACCCTGCAGCCCTCTGTCTCTACTACTGGGAGCAGCAGAATGAGGCATGTTGGAGAGATGCTGTTAGAAAGACTGGGAGCCAGCTCCCTCAAGGCTAAGGCAGCCAGGGGAGACTGTATTGGTCCTCTGGGATATGGAAGGTTCTGAACCAGCAATTTTGGTTTGGAAAGGCTAGAACATAAACCAGCAATATGATGGGCCACAGCAAAGACTCACTAAATTGAGAGGCAGTTCATTGAGTACTGAAGAGCTCTGATTTTGGAGTGAGCTAGGTGTTTCAATCTAGGCTGTGCCCTCTAAAAAATCTTTCTAAGATTGCCCAGCTTATAACCTAAGTATGATTCCTCACCTGTAAAATGGACTTATCCTTAACTCATAAGTGGTTGTGAATTTTAAAGTCTGTAAAGAGTACTTTCTCCATTCATAACAAAACTAGAACACAGACTAACCGTCTGACCACGGGTTAAAGCCTTCAGCGGATCCCTCCCATATATAAACACAAGCAATTTAAAGTTTACCAATTAAGAATGAGCAGATCAGCTTATATTTGAGGACATTTTGAAAGGTGTAATAATTTGGTGAGAGGGGAAAACACCAGGCCACAATTTAGTGGCCCTGAAAGAATACATTATTCTCCATCTGAACAGAGGTTTATTACTCATCTGGGGACATCTAAAATGATTTAACCAATTCTTAAATATTTCTAAGGCTTGTGATAAACCCTGATTAGTACGGTGTGTATCCCATCCTCCTTGTTCCCTGTGAAGCCTCACTTACCCTAAGGTATGATGGGACCTTGTAGCTCCCTCCCTTGAGGTCCTAAATTGCAGCCCTGGAACTATGAGGCCCCTTGCTGGGCCTTCTATAAAATGTTAGCCTGCTCAGGATTCAAAGGCACCCTCTTGGATGCATGCAGCCTCTGCTCTAAAGATCCAAGTGCAGCCCTGAGCGAGGGAGCATTAACTGCTCTTCCTTTTAAAAGACCAAAGTGCTCATATTTTGTGATTCCACCTAAATAAACTGCACAATTCATTTGTATTATATGTAGCTTGAATGTAAATTGAATGCATTTTAATATATTAGGGATAGAAGACAGAAAGCATGGAGTCTGCTACCATATACCAGCTCTGCCACCCTGTGCCAGGTTCTGGTTTGTTGTAGGACACATGAAATACCTTAATTTGGCTGTCTTGGATCCTTTCGGGAAGAAGACAGGTTTAAGATAATTTAATATTACACGTATTTTAATAGCATCAGACCCTTTTTCACAACATGCTGAGCCCAACCAAGAACATTACCTCCCTTAGGTGTTCGATTTTCTAACAGCTCAGATGTGATTCCTGAGGTGCTTCAGGCCATCTTAAAATCTGTGGCTGCTACTACCTCAATCAATTTGTGAATAAGGACAGCAGGGAGACTTATCTTACCACATAACGGTGCCATGCTTATGAGTTTGTCAAAAGCTTCAGCTTGAAAGCTCATAGCAAAGTCAAAGTGGAAAGGTAATAAAAAGTGAGCTGCGGTATATCTGCCCTAGTGCCGAAGCCACATGCTCCCGCTCAGGCAGCCAGCCTCGACAAACACAGCAGTGCCTTATCCCAACTCTTCGTGGGTTGGTGGGAGGAAGTCACCACTGTCCACTCTGGCCTGACTGGTGGACTTCTCCTCCTGGCACTCAGAGTTGTCATTAACATAGCTGACGCCACAAAAATGCAAGACCTGTGTCTGACTGAGGTAATCAGCAGTGGGCCTTCAGGTAAGCAATAATAAATACTTTTAAAATCACATGTATCATTTCTCTGGATATTTAAGATAAAGCTGCTTCCACCAAAGGAATTCCAGAAAGCTGAGTGATTCAAGTGACTGCCACACTTAGTCCTCCTGTCATGAGGTCAAGAGCAGAGAAGCAAAGACATTCATTTGAGCCCACCCTGGCCCTGGTTCTCCACTGCTCTCAGGCTGAGAGCAGCCTGGGCAGGAGGGTCTCTTGAGCCCTAACAAACTCCCTTAGTCAGGCACAAACTTCATCCCAGCAGTCACAGGAAACTGTCCACAGCCGACAACTTTTTATCTACAAAAATGGCCACTTCATATGGTTCAACCTAATATTTTACTTATTTTGATTATTATCCATCTCCACCTTAGATCTTAAGTTCTGCAAGGGCAAGGATTTTTGTATATTCGGTTTACCACTGTATAAAGCCAGTGCTCAGAATAATGCCTGGCACAGGGTAGGCCCTTAATAAAACTTTATTGAACGTCAGCGCGATTTGCTTTGTAGTAAATTATTTCTAAACCATAATGCCCATGGGGGAAAACAGTAAAGTAACTGATGGATATTGAGCAATAGGAATGAAATGTGTCATCAAGAAAGAAAATGGAGACCTTCGGTTGGTTTGCTTATCCTTTTCTAGGCCTATGAGATCCAGGGTTTAAAAGCAGACTTATACCCCAAATTCCAAATTGGCTTGATGAAACCAGCTTATGAAACAAAATTAAAATCAAGACTTCTTACATGGGCATGTCAGGCAATATCGGCAAGAGAATACAGCAAGACTTACCAAGTTTGCTCAAACTTGGCCTGGTTTTTCTGGTCCTCAATTTGGATTGCACCCAGGGACTATCAACTAGGTTGTGGGTTATGTCCACAGGCTAAATGGAAGGTGAGGTGTGAACCAGCTTATGAAACAAAATTAAAATCAAGACTTCTTACATGGGCATGTCAGGCAATATCGGCAAGAGAATACAGCAAGACTTACCAAGTTTACTCAAACTTGGCCTGGTTTTTCTGGTCCTCAATTTGGATTGTACCCAGGGACTATCAACTAGGTTGTGGGTTATGTCCACAGGCTAAATGGAAGGTGAGGTGTGCTTTGGATTGAATTTCATATATAAGCTGACCCAGAAAATGGTTTGCTCTCCCTCTGCAGCTATTAAAAAAGCAGTTCCTGAAGTTAGGCCAGCCTCTGGTAGGCTCCGGGCCTTGCCATCCGCTGGCCTTAAGTGCACCATTGTTTTGGCGGTGTATTTGTGTGTGTGGTGTGGAGGGAGAAACAGAAAGTAAGGAACTAGCTAGTGGGCATTTGCTTCCTTCTGACTGGCATCTCTTCCTGCTGCCTGGCTGAGCTGTGGGCAGGTCTAGCTGAGAGGAGGAGGGACAGTGACACTGGCAAGCAACCAAAGACAGAGCCACCACTGAAAGAAACCATAAATAACTCGAGGGCTGGTAACCTCTGCCATGGTTCAGCTTGATTGGATGGTACCCTAGAAGGTTCGAGGGGATCTTCAAAAAGTTCGTGGAAAGATTCATTTTACCTTTTTTTTTTTTTTTCCTTTTTGTCTTTTTCCATGTCCGGCAACGGATCGCAACCCTCAGTGTCGCCCCTGTACCGGACTAGGACCGGCAACGGGATCGCAACCCTCGGTGTTGCTCCCGCGCCTCGCTCAGCCAGTGAGCGGGAACTGGTCTGTATGTGGGATCCGAACCGTT